TGTGCATACTTCCTGCATGCCCTGCAAAAAAAAAAAACCTCTCATAAAATTCTTTCATTAAAAAAACTCAAAAAAATTAAAAAATGGAATTTTTCAAGTGTTTACAAGCTCAGCAATAAGACTGCATAAGAACAAAACATACGATCGAATGGTGAAAATGTACCTTCAAAAATAGCTGTTGAAATTGTTACCACTTGTCCAACATTGTCCTCCAGAAATGGCCCAGTAAGAACAATTCTACCAGGAAATTCAACAGCTCGTGTATACCTAATGAAAAAACAACCATAAACAGCATTTACAATTGCTCAACACATACAAATCAAGAATATTTCGAAACGACTAAAACCTTGCTAAGTGCTTTTGTGTCGGAAGAACCACTTGCTGTTTATCCCCACAGGAGATAAAGCGAACTTCAGGATCGGCAGAATGCTGACTATAAAGTGATGCAGTGTAATCCTAAGTACTCGATCTACTTCTCTCTACCCACTAATTCCTAACACTTCTACCATATTCTAAATAATTTCACATTTTGCTTCATTTACCATCCTCAGTTACTAACTTCCTTTGCCCTCCTTTTCCTCCATTAATTTATCAATTATAAACTCCTTCCTAAAACCCTGAGGGGCGCAGTCTCAAACCCAATGCGAACTACGCCCTCATACGACTAGCGCTACCAACTGATCGCCTCGATACGATTAACATTCTCCTTTGGTTGGATAGTTTTTGCGACACCGCAGCTCGATCTGTTGAAATGAAGTTTTTGTTAGTAAATAAAGCACTGACACTCTTCACTGTCTTCCGCTGTTGTAGTCAAAGATCACGCAAGGAACTAATATCAGCACTGGCCAAAACAATCGGAAAAGCTACGAGTGGCATAGTTGGCGAAGTAAACTATGAATTAAGAATTGTTCCATGTGTATTTTCAAGTAAGTGTAGATCGTGAATATTTTGTGAATTCTTATTGTAAGCTCTCCGTTTGCTAAGAATAATCATACAATCCAGTCCAGATAAAAAATCACGATATTCCCGTGAAATTATGACACCCTTCTTTGCCTCTTTTCGCCCCTTCAACTTAAATACGCTATTTTTCGAAAAAAAAAAACTAAACGGATTACACAATGCCTACAAAAATTCACCCAAAAATTGCAAGAAATAGCAAAACTACACTGCAGAAGATCTTAGAAAAAAACTTAAAAGAAAACAGCAACACACAAACCATGGCTGCAAATCGGGCTCATAGTTGTCTCGGACAACCGTAGCTGGGTAAGTGATCATAACACCACGGGATGTTGCGATATATCGTCGTATGACATATTCACTGGTAGCACTTGCTGTTGCCGCTGCCACTTTATCACGCCAATGAGGTATTATTGCGGAAAGAGCACGAACATGTTCCCGAACACCTGGCCGAATACCCGTATTTCGAATTAAACCAAATGGATCACCTTCAAATAATTTTAACGCTCTAAAAAAGACGATTTTTAATGCAAAATTTTAATAAAATTACAAGCACTGTGTTACGACGATGCTTGGGCGTGAAGACGTACGAGACTGTTCGGATGAAAGTTGCTTCTCTGCTTGGTGGAGATGCCGGGATAACCAAACAAACTTTATTAATATAATAAAAAGTATACAGTTAAAATTGGGGTCGGATGGGTTAAGGACATAATGTAGCACCATCGCTACCGACGTAGAACACTTTAAACAAGTCGCAAATTCCAGTACTCCACTTTACAACAAAATCGCATGCTTATATATTTATCACAAAAGGCGGGAAAGATTACAGGAGATTGATAGGTCAGTCTGCGGTTCGATTCTGGATTGTTCTTTGCTTTTTCCTCTGCTCTCTTTACATCTACCAATGGGACAATCAATCCCTCCACGATTCTTTCATTCGTTTTGATGATAAATTGACATCAGGGGATCAAATCTGCCATCAGCTTGCTTCTAAGCAACCCTCGAAAGAAGAAATCACTGAAGGCCCTGCCAGCTGGTGAATTTTGTTTGCACTTCCTAATATTCGATCCCTTCCCGAGAATCCCTGCTTTTCACAGAAAGTGAATGCAGAACTGGCTCTAATTTTTTCAAAAATTTTGAAAAAAACGAATTTCTCACCCACCTAAATATACCCAGTAATTGGCAATCCATTGTGGCGATGGTGGCCGTTGTAGAGAAGATACTGTGAAACAGCTGGGACTGAGATAAACACCGCCAAGCTTCATTGTTGAAAGATAACCAAAATGCGAGCAATAGGAGAGTGAAGAATCTCTCTAAAAAAAAAAAATCACATAGAAAGTTTTAATAAAATAGTATTCAATAAAGAACAAAAAAAAAAAAGGAAAAAAGATGGTAAGTAATAAAAATTAGAAAATCCGTGAGATTATTATAATGGTAAGAAATGTTTTGGTCCATTAAGTCCTATATAAAATCATAAAATGGAAAAACGGAAGCCACCCAGAAATTTCGGGGAAAAATCCGTGCTAGCTTTTGTGGCTAAATCTGCGCAATCTCCATGCAACATCATATAAGGTGTATTTGCATTATTCCTTACGAGGTACCTGAACTTTGCTACATCATTAACTGCTGTTCATGCTGACATTAAGCCGTACTACCGGAACTTTGCCCGATAAAATATTGCATAGTGACTTCCACTGGCAGAATGGGTCGTTGTTCCTGTTCCTCAGCTTGTTAGCCTTTTCCTTTTGCCTGCAGAGCCTTTACGGCCCGTACTGCCTTCTATTTCCATTGGGGGATCCACTTTATGATTTTGGGCCTACCCCCCATCCCTCTT